TGCCGATCCTGAAGAAACCTTTTTGGAGAACCCCATACTGTAGTCTCTTGGGAAAACCTCGGCAGGGAGCACGTTTCACAGCCTGAGTGTTCATGAGAGAAACTTTTTCTAAAACCGCATTGTACGTAACCATTTAGGCTCAAACGTGTGAGGATGAATTCTCTGTCGATGGTAAGCGGTGCGATGTTAAAAAGTGGCAGTAGGCGTCGTTTCAAACAATTGCTCAGAACACAATCCGTTATACAAGTCGTAGAACACACATAGGGAAGCAAAGTCTCGCCCACAGACTTAAGGGCTCGATACCATCTGTGAGCTTGGAATCGTCGAGTATTCTCATAGCTCCTCTTTGAACGGTGTCAAGAAGACCAAGTTGATATCCAGGACCTTACATTATAAAATAAACCTATGTCCCAAATTCCAGCTTTCTAGACTTAGCACTTTTGGCTATGTATTGTAGTCAATCAAGACAAACAATTTTATAAATATAGATAAACAGGGCCCAATCGCCTCAAAGCGGCGAGGATAAAAGGGCGGCAAGATTTAGTTTTATTGTTCTTGTCGCCTTTTTTAACCTAGATTTTGCCACCCTAATTTTGCCACCGCTATTTGCCCAAAACGATAAAAATAATTTTTTTATTATTTAAACTACTTTTTCTCAAACGTGCTTGGAAATGTGAGCATTATTTTGACAATCTTCTTCGAGATAAATCAAAATTGCCGTACTGGCCAGATACATGCGGACAGCGGCCGGCAAAAGTTGTATGAAAATCCATTTCTGTCGTGTTTTGCGGCCAAATAAATTACTATATAAACTCATATCTGTCCTGTAATTTAAAAATGGAATGGAATAATCTAAATATATAAATTTTATATTAACTAAATCAGCAACTGATTATCTGTTGGCGTTAATTTTAAAAACAAAATGCGTATTGATAATATAGCCTCACAAATGTACCCATTTGTGTTTTTGCATAATTAATTCCATTATCCGTATAGCCAATCTGTTTTCTATCAAGAAGTAGGAAGATCGACTTCTAAAAGAGGTCAAATATGAATAAAAAATTATATTTTAATGCCTTCTCTTCAACTAACTACAAGGTACTACACGAATGAAGTAATGTATTTACAAAGGAAAAGTATTTATTATGTTTATCAATTGGCAAGTATCCATTGTCTTTATAAATATGGGATATTAATTAACTCACTGTGTTTTTGTCGTTATTTATTTCGACCTCATCCGGAAGTCTTCTTCAGGGGGTGTTTAGCGCTTTGCTTCACTTTTGCTTTCACCTCGCCTCGTATTTATTTATTTATATATAAATAAATAAATATATAATATATATTCTTTATTGCACTCGAACAAAAGATACAGCGATTAGTTTAACAAATTAAACTAAAGTTTTATTCCAACCATCTGGACGAGTGGCGGCCTTCCACCGTGCGTTTTTCAAGGCACTTTCTTCCACGCACTACCACTCTTTGGGATCAACTTCCAACAGCAGTATTTCCGAACCGATACGACGACATAACCTTCAAGATAAGAGCATACTCCTTTTTAAAAGGCCGGCAGCACACTTGCAATGCCTTTGATGTTGTAAGTGATCATGGGCGGCGGTAGTCACTTACCATCAGATGAGCCGCATGCTCGTTTGCCCTCCGTGTTATAAAAAAAAACTTGTTAGCAAGGGTGGGCTTAAAAGATATCTCTTTCAGCCAACCCAGTGTAGTTAGAGAGAAAATAATTAATTAGCGGGTAATCTAGTGCAGGAATGGTACAGTACATTTAGACGTTGAATAAAAATGAATATATGCTTTAAAATAAGTATCCATTATATAAGTTGTGCTTAGTTTGGCGCTAGATGGCGTTGTGTAATATATGTCCACTGCTGAACATAAGCCTCACCTTGGAGGATTTTGCCAGTAGTTGCCACGCTTGGCAGGCGGATTGGCACTAAATTGGCACCAACAGCAATTAGGCTTTAGAGATGTTTTAAGAGGGACGTTGCTGCTGATCCCTCGCCCTCTCTTAGTCGACTCTTACGACACCCACGACGTAAGAAGGGGTGGCCTATTCTATGCCGGGACCACACGGCCAATTATTTATTATTTACTACTATATCTTATTCGGTTCAGAAACATTCTAATCGATAGTAATTTATCAATATGAAAACCTTGTGTTACTTACTAGCTTTTCTCTCGCTACTTCGTTCATGTGGATTTTACAAGTAGAATAATCAATAAAATGGCTATTATGCTATAGGCTACTACTAGATGGCGTATCAAGACGTATCATACACTAGTTTTTTTTTTAAGTTAGCATGAAATTTCGTACAGTATTTATTGTATGATGCCTGAACAAACATATAGACAGACTGACATAATTTCTAAAAATTTCGGTTTCTATTGTTCGTATTAGAATTTCTTATATATTATTTTTTCTTAAATACCTCTTATATACAGACATCGTGTAATTACAATTTTATTATAAGATTTAAATCTTAGCTAGATTCTTAAGCAAACTTGCGAGAGAATTTATATATTGTAGATATATAATTTTATTTTAAATTCCCACTTTCTTGCCCCTTATATAACTGTACAATTTTCCTTTCTTATTATAATGAAGGGATCAATAAACATACATGTCCATTATCTCAAACATATATTGCACGAGGGAGATACCCTACAAAATACATTTTTTGTTTAAATACACCTACATATATTACACCCTTATATACAAATAGCATATGTAATATATACACTTTATTTATTCTAAAACTTAAACTAAACATAATCAGTAGATATGGCAACACACGTAAATAAATACTATGTAGTTTATAGAATATAGTATGTAATTTATAATATTATTCTCCCATTTGTCTCTTAAAATATCCTGGGGATGAAAAGGAATAATAATAAATTAAATAAAATCACGAAAAACGGTCACTTATAAATACTTAGAATAAATAGTACCTCTAAATTGATTTTATATGAAACAGCTATACAGCCTGTTTCATATAAAATTAATGTGCTCGTGAAATCAAAGATTATTTTATATTATTAATTGCGTTGCAAAGGGAATAATATTCTATTAGCAATAAACAGCTTCCTAATAACTTATTTGTCGAAATAAATCAATTTCACTTTAATATAATTGAATTAATTATTTGTAATTTTGTATTGAATAAGAACAGAGATTTTACGTTTTATTCGATTGTCGATAAAAGATAGGTAACAATTTTAGAAGTAACATATCTTCACATATATCTCTCCCATTCGTGTTTCAACCGTAAAGCAGTTGTGTTTGATATGGCGTGAATTTATTGGGTACAGAGGAATAACACCTGAGTCCTCAGCAATGGTAACGCATGGGGGTATCATGGGCAAAACAGTATACTCTGTTATGTCCATGGTACTGCTCATGTCTATAGGCGACGGTTACCACTTTCCATCAGGTGGGCCGTCAGCTTGTTTGCCATTCTAAGTTGTGTAAAAAAAAATATTCATAACGTGAACGTTGTATCACTAATGAAACTGTCATTTTATATGTTTAAAATTACTAATTGGATGGCGTGACATACAAATGTGTAATTTGTTCTTTTTAATTACATATATAATTAATATACCAACTCCATTCTGTACCACATACCCTACATGTGTCTTTTAGCAAATTACATATATCATTGTTCATTTTATGAATACGTCGTAATAATATACGCGAGCTTATTATTTTATATGTAACTAGCTTCGTACGAGTGCAATGCTGATACTAAATAGCAAAAATAATGTAATATCTTCGGAAATATTCATTTAACAGACGGAGACTTCGTACAAAAGTCGATTGCTTGGGTACCTCTGTCCCATTCGTGTTTCAACTGTAAAGCAGTTGTGTTTGCATGGTTGTTTTTCGGTTTGAAGGGTGGGATATGGCGTAAATTTACTAGGTACAGAGGAATAACACCTGAGTCCTCAGGAATGGCAACGCATGGGGGGTATCATGGGCGAAACAGTATACTCTGTTATGTCCATGGTACTGCTCATGTCTATAGGCGACGGTTACCACTTTCCATCAGGTGAGCCGTCAGCTTGTTTGCCATTCTAAGTTATATAAAAAAAACCATCAATGTCCAGAGTTCCTCAATATATAGATGTCGGAGCGATACTGATATTGCATATGTCTACTATCTATAGATTCGTTTGTACCTTATCTAGCTATACGATTATTTTTAGCAAAATCGATATGGTTATATCTATTTATAGAGATTTCCGAGAGAAAGAAATTCTAAATTTACCTTTTTTATGAAACTAGAATGGCAAAAGGCTGATGTCTCATGTTACTGCTTTCCACTAGCAGTTTTTGCATTTTGACTACATCTATATTAGTTCGTGCCGTTGCCATGTGGTCCCAGCATAGAATAGACTACCTCCCTTTCGGGGTGAGTATCATAAGAGACGACTAAAGGAGAGCGAGAGGTGGGAAGCAGTGTCCCTCTTAAAACATCTCTAAAGCCTAAATTGCGGTTGCCAATCCGCCTGCCAAGCTTGGCAACTACTGGCAAAACCCCCCTAAGCGAGAGGCTTATCTTCAGCAGTGGACAGTTAAAAGCTAATATCACGATGATGTTAGTTCGATAATAACTTAATAGTAACAGAAGCTGTCGTTTTTCTTTGTAAAAAAAAAAGTTTAAAAGCAGAATTTACTACATAATAATTTCGTGTTCTAAATTCAAATTTCACAAAAAGACATTCGTCGGTGTATTTTATTGCAATTGACTTTTATAATTATTTTTTTTAACAAAATGATTTTGTTTGAATTTGTTATGGCCATTTATCGTAATCGTATTTATAATAGTTTTTTTTTTTTTTTAATAGCTTTAAGGGTTTGTAGTACATAATGTACTCGAAGATTTTATCTGTTTCATTCCTTATATCTTCGAGTTTAATAGCAGTAAATATAAACTTATAAATAATTGTATATAACATCATTTTTCTTTTGTCCACAGACAAACAAAAACCACACACGCAACATGCCAAAGACAACGAGATAGCTCAAAATGGCGGCTCAAGACAAAGAGTGGGTGGAATTATTCGGGGACTTCAACCGAACCAAGGGTCCTCCAGATGTTCCAGATGTGCCTAAACTGAATTACAGCGATTATGACAACCAATCATACATACCTCTCGAATATTCCAACTTCACAACGGATGATTACTGCTCCTCAAACTATTCCCACTGGTATTTGAATGTAACCTGCGAATTCCCTATAAATTACGCCGAACCCATGTACGGGTATGTATTAGTTTTAATTATTTAATTGAATGCAATAGATATAAGACAATAAGAGTAAATATTCAGATAGATGAGACATTCCTATGAATTGGATTGAATATACCTTAGCGCGATAACGGCTCGTGTCCAACTCACGTCCTACTTTTTTTTATAAGTGAAAATGGTATAGTAACCCCGCCTGCGCTAACGGGATACGCTGGCGGAGCACCAGTGAAGGGTGATAGATGAGAATGAAAACAGGCCAGTTAGCCCATCATGATGAATTCATCAGGAATTAACCATGATAGTTTCCAGGGAGAACCGCGAGGAGGTCGAACTGGTTGGGTATATTGCTAGCAATGGGATTCTCAGTCTCCATTACTAACAACCCCTTTTCCCCCTCTCGCGTCCTATTAAGTCAGGGCTCGCAACCGACAGACATCGCAGTGAGAGCGTGCTTCGCACTCGCTCATGTGTCGCGTGAATTGCGACATGTCATAAATTATTTGTTAAATGCGAATAAGTCTAAGGTACCTTCTGAAGCTACGCAATATCTGAACGGTTAAAAGGTACAGTTTGGTATCATTCACAAACGAAAATGTATGAGAGTTTGTTTATTCTTATAATATTACCATAGCTTTATTGCTTTTTCTGACACAACTTAGAATGGCAAACAAGCTGACGGCCCACTTGATGGAAAGTGGTAACCGTCGCCTATAGACATAAGCAGTACCATAGACATAACAGAGTATACTGTTTCGCCCATGATACTCCATGCGTTGCCATTCCTGAGGACTCAGGTGTTATTCCTCTGTACCCTGTAAATTCACGCCATATCCCACCCTTCAAACCGAAACACAGCCATGCAAACACAACTGCTTCACGGTAGAAATACGAATGGGACAGAGGTACCCAAGCAATCGACTTTTGTACAAAGTCTCCCTCTGCTGTAGTAAGTCCAACATTGTTGCCATAAAAAATAACTTTATGTTTCAATCGAAAAGGCATATACCTTCTACTACGTCAATACGAAATAAACCACCGTTGTGCATGTCTCTTCAATTCTTTTATTATATATAATTCTATTTTTAACACGATCTCTGAAACTGACAATGCATATAGCCTGGACAGCTCAGACACGCGTGGATATGATTCCCGTTGTGTCGAAAGAAAAAAAATCTACTTTCCATTTTATTTTAAAATAACAGTATTAAGCGTACGGATCGGCTTATGGTAAATACTCGTAATTGCTATAGCCTATGGTCAGAGTAATGCTAGCACTGAGTACACGTAGCCTCAAGAAGTCTCACTACTTATTTAAACCCCTATGGGTTTGATGTGAAAGGGATTTAGATATCAATAAACGGATAAATTTCATTTTTATTAACGTAGTACCAAATATAGCACGCTTAGTCATGTAAATTAAGCTTGCGTCGTCTATCCACATTCATGTCAGTGGGTGTTGTTTGCGACCGTTTATTATACGTACCGGCTACTAAATCGATATTAATTGAATTAATTCTAACGTAATTGTATAATGCGATTCCTATCTGACCTCCGTGACAGTAGAAAGGTATCTAACATTTCCATTTCTAAATAAGCACAACGTACCTATTACATACCTAGAGCACGTGTTAGATATTTATTTTAAATTATATAAATTTTCTTTAACATCATGTGTAAAATGTGTACCTACGTTTATTAATAAAAATCAGATTAATTATTTTAAATGTAATAAAATATTAAAATTGTCATTATACAAAATTTTGTAATGAATTATTCTTGTAATGTATATAGAACACTAATTTATATTTTAATTGATTTTATAATTATTTATTATCATGATACTTAAATATAAAGTAATTAAATTGTAAGAACACGTGGTCTCACTGACTTGTTCACTCGAATTCGGTCCTGTAGATATAATCTTGTTATTTGGGTGGGCAGACACTTCTTGAACGTTGAGACACTCGTTGAACAACAACAACCAATTACATATTTTTAATTATATCTTGCAACCAGATATATTTCGTTTGAGAGGTTTGAATTGTGACCTTTTGGTAAACGTAATAAGTAACATTTCACCGAGCACATTAAAATCCAACGTGACAAAGGGCAGGCTACATCACATGGATCGCTTCATCACTAAATAGTATAAAACAAAGTCACTTCCCGTCTGTTTGTCCCTATGTATGCTTAGATCTTTAAAACCACGCAACGGATTTTGATGCGGTTCTTTTAATAGATAGAGTGATTCAAGAGGAAAATTTTTTTATATATATAATACATACATAATATAGTGGAGAAAAACTGATAATGTTAGATGTTTCTAATGTAATGTGATGTAATGTACACCCGTGCGAAGCCGGGGCGAGTCGCTAGTAAGTAATAAAGGAGAATTTAGAACCTCCTACATTTAAAAAAAAAGGAGATTAGGTTGTATTTTTTTAAGTTTGCCAATTTGGATATTTTTTAATCTAAAACATATATTTACAAAATGGCCCCATATAGGAATTTTATCAAAAACGGTTTAATATTTAAATTAAAATACCTAACTGGTTTTATTACAATTAAAGTTGTTTTTTGGGACATAATCTTATTTATTATTAATATTATAAGTCGCAACATTACTCTGTTTAATTCGGATTTCTGGAAAGATTTGTACTGGAGTGTTGAGAGCGCGGCGTGCGGCTGACGTAAATGATAAATTGGATCTTAAAAATTAATTTAATAGGGTTAGGAGGGCGGGTTGTTAGGGCACAGAACGCTGATGGACGCCGTAATTACGTGCAAGTGTTTAATTTACTTGTTACCAATTTATTTAGATTGATGAGAGTAAAATTTTGCACTGTCCTAAGAATTTACAACCACGCAGAACTGACAAATTCGACAATTATATTATAACTACACTTGCGGCTCGCGTCCAACTCGCGATCCATTTAGTCAGGGCCTGCAAGCAACAGGCATCGCAATGAGAGCGTACGTCCCTTTCAGTTGCACGTGTGTCGTATGTTAATCGTAGAATTATTTGTTGTGATAAAATTGTGACAACCTGGAAGGGTTGTCTATGTAAGGTTTGAAGGGAAAAACGTACATTTTTAAGACATGTGTGTCACTTCTACCCAGTACCGTTTCTTTTCGATGGTTAATAATGGAATGGCCACCCTGCCCGCGCTAACGGCATACACCGACAGGGCACCAGTGAAGGATGACAGGTGAAAATGAAAAGGCATGTCAGTTAGCCCATCGTGATAAATACACCGGTGATTCAGCACTATGGTTTCCAGGGGGGACCGCGTGGAGGTCGACCTGGCAGAGTATATTGCTAGCAATGTGGCTAGTAGTCCGCATTACTAACAATCACTTTCCCCCACCCAATCCCATTATTCCTATGATATTAACACTAAGATATAATTTTCAAAAGATTTGGAAATACTGTATTACTTTACGCTTTCTAGAATACACCTATCCCCCGATTTACACGGTACTTGTTTTACACGTTTTCGCTTTTACACGGTTTTCCAAATAAGTTTTTTTTTGTTTTTATCGCACTCTACTAAATGCTACTGTGTTTGAACACGTGCGCTGTGTACACATCTCACGGGGAATCCCGAGCTTATGTGCTGACTTGCTGCACATGCACACTGTGTCTGTATTTCTTCGCATAAAATTAAAGTTTTATCTACGGAAAATTGTATTTGAGTGAAAGTTTCACAGTGTCAGAAAGATTTAATTTTTCATATTCGTAAATTACAAGTGAGTGCATAATTAAGATTTTTATAAATTAACATAAATTAAAAAAAATTATAGGCTTATAATGTCGAAAGAAGTTAAAAGAAAAGTTATTTCTTTAGAAACTAAAATCGAAATTTTGGATCGCTTACGAAAGGGAGATAGAGTAGTAGATGTTGCAAAATCATATAAAATCAGTTAAAAAATCACAATTGTTAAATAGCAAAATTATGCATTTTCTGCAAGCTTTTCGATTTACACGGTTTTGACTTGAAAATTTTTAATTTTCGATTTACACGTTTTTCTCTGGAACGTATCTACCGTGTAAATCGGGGGATAGGTGTACTGCGAATTTACTAAATCAGTTCGAACTACGAACATATATTAGAAAAGTGTAGTATGATGCAAGTGCTGACGGACCGTCTGTCGACTTCCATAACGCAGGAAGTTTGACCCAACGATGTTATTTTCCGACGTTTTCAGGGACGTGTACTATGCTTCACATATTGCCGACACCACGTAATTTCTGACAACTAAGATCGACTCGTAACTAAGTCTCCGTGCCCTATAATTTCATTGCCACCGCAATTAAATTAATTTGAATTTACTGGGTACGGAGGAATAACACCTGAGTTCTCAGGAATGGCAACGCATGGGAGGTATCATGGGCGAAACAGTATACTCTGTTATGTCCATGGTACTGCTCATGTCTATAGGCGACGGTTACTACTTTCCATCAGGTGGGCCGTCAGCTTTTTTGCCATTCTAAGTTGTATAAAAAAAAAACACAGTTACTTGATGGCAAAAACACGAATGAGACGGAGAGACTAACATTTTTATACCAGTTCAATTCATATTACCAATTTATTTCATCTTTTTTTCCAGTTACATCGCCCCATTCCTCCTGGCGACCACCACAGTGGCCAATACCCTCATCGTGGTGGTACTATCTCGTAGACACATGCGGACACCCACCAACGTGGTACTAATGGCGATGGCACTATGCGACATGTTCACCATGCTCTTTCCGGCACCATGGCTTTTCTATATGTACACGTTTGGGAACCACTACAAGCCGTTGAGTCCAGTAAGGGCATGTCAAGCATGGAACTATATGAATGAGGTATGTATTAGTGTTTAAAAGAAGTAACAAGAATAAAAAAAAATATTTCCTTAAACAAAATTGGCCTATGGCACAATATAGGTATGACCCCACACTAGGCAAAGCCTGGAAGTCAAAGCAAGAAATTGTTGAATATTTCCGGATTGACCCTAAATCCGGATTTCGTATACAAATGAAAATAAAGATAAGTTGGTAATAAATACATACGCGACTGTGGTCACTATCGTATGACACAATGTATGAGGTGCATTCTAGATATCAAAGACACCACGCCGGCATACACAGACCATCAGTGTATGCCGGCTGAAGAAACCCAGTGACCCGGAGGTCGTCACCTCCGGAGTAGAAGCCGGGGTAATGGGGTACGCCCCGAGGCCCCTACCTCGCCCGCCCACACATCATCCGGCGGGCAAGAGATGTCCATGTTATTGTTGTCGTTCTAGATATCAATATTTAATAGTTATAGTGCGGCGAACAGTGTTAATTTAGATATGTAACATTTAATGTGGGTTCAGATATGCGTAGATATTTGATTGGGCGTGTACATGTGCGTGTGTGAGTGTGGCCGCGCGCGCGCGCGCGCGTGTGTGTGTGTGTGTGTGTGTGTGTGTGTGTGTGTGTGTGTGTGTGTGTGTGTGTGTGTGTGTGTGTGTGTGTGTGTGTATGTGTGTGTTTGTTCGTGTGTGTAAACATGTGCAAAATAATAAAAAATGTTACACAATCACACCAATGGCCTGGTTCTGTAGCTAGGAAATCGTCTTATGGAGGACCGAGCAACAAAGGACTAGGCCACAAACGAGAACATCCAGAACAGAATAGATATTGAGAAGTTTGCTCCCTAAATTGGCTCAACTGGGAATCGAACCCGGGATCTCAAACTAAAGCAACGTACCCATTACTGCGCCACGAAGATCATTGGAATATTGTCCACGCACACTAGAATTCAACTGTTTAGTGTAATTATAGCGATTTGTTTTTAAATATGCAACCTGCTTAATTATTATAATAATTCACTGATGAACACAGGCTTACAATAAGCGGATATTATACTACGCTGACAAGTAGTTTACGAGTAGTACGGGGTTTTATTTCGAGGTTTCCTATTGCATTTCATGGTATATTGTGCTTTGTTTCCCTTGTTTTATGATATATTTGGAATGCATTTTGCATTTCATGCATATGCTGCTTCGTCATCATACAGATAAACTGTAAGTTATTACCTCCAACTTTTTGGAGTTTCGTCGGATGACCACAAAGTGTTTTTTTTGATGGGAGAAAATGATATGGTAACTCCGCCTGCGCTAACAGGATACGCTGGCGGAACACCAGTGAAGGGTGATAGATGAGAATGAAAACAGGCCAGTTAGCCCATCATGATGAATTCATTAGGAATTAACCATGATAGTTTCCAGGGGGAATCGCGAGGAGGTCGACCTGGTTGGGTATATTACTAGCAATGGGATTCTCACTCTCCATTACTAACAATCCCTTTCCCCCCGACCACTGAGTGTTTGTGTTCAGAGATTTAAGATCTAATGTTATTTCTATTATTGTTATGTGAGTTTTATCTTATTGTACTGATGCTTTCCTGGGTGAGGGTATTAGGAGACTGTAAAGCTCACCCAGTCGATAAAAAAAATAAATAACAAATATAAATTAAAAACCCAATCCTACCTACTTACTCGTTGCTTTTTTTATAAGTAACAATGGAATGGTAACCCGCCTAAGCTATTAATATACGCTGACAGGGCATCGTAAGCTATAGATGAAGCAGGTCAGTTAGCCTATCGTAACAAATTCCATAAGAATTAACCAAGATGGTTTCCAAGAGAAACCGCGTAGAGGTCGACCTAATAACTAATGGAACTGTTAGATCCCCATTACTAACAGTCCCTCCTCCTCCCCCCCCCCCTCTCTTATTCGTTAAGCGATGTCATCCTCTGAAGTCAACTCATTTTTAAACTACCTTCTTCACCTCATGCATACGAAGATCTCTAACGTAAATTGCCAAATTATAGCACTCCATAGCACCAATGACTCTTTTTTGTCACTGGTACAAAAATCGGTTGCTTGGGTACCTCTGTCCCATTCGTGTTTCAACCGTGAAGCAGTTGTGTTTGCATGGCTGTGTTTCGGTTTGAAGGGTGGGATATGGCGTGAATTTACTGGGTACAGACGAATAACTCTTGAGACCTCAGGAATGGCAACGCAAGGGGGATAACATGGGCGAAACAGTATAGTCTGTAATCCACTTTAAAATTCAAAGGTTTAGGTCGACATTCGACCTTAAGATTTTCAAACTGTCCAAACTATGCTAATTATCTATCCATTAAACCGACCAAAGTATCTTTCAAATAGTTTTCTCTTTATATATATATATATATATATATATATATATATATATATATATATATATATATCACTAATTAAGCTATTTGAAACAATGAACCGTAATGATTCAAAGTAAATGCATTAAAATGACTGGGAGTTTATAGCAAAAAGGATGTCAAGCAAATTCACTGCAATATTGCAATGTGCGTTCTGCCGTAAACTCGTGTATGTACCTCACTGATTGGCAAACGATATTACTTATTTGATAGGGCGACACGGAAAATTGGAAACCCGTAAATTGTGATTAGAAGAGCATACACATGAGCTATGTTTATGTTTGTAATGATCAAATTATTTTTATTGCGACCAAAATAATACAAGAACAGAAAAAAGTATAAAGCAATATGACATTATAAATCAGTGACATAAAAAACATATTATAAGGCAACGTCAAATTAAATGTTATAACTCTAGCATGATTGAAGTAGATTTCTTCCATAAAAAAAACCATTAAATTGAACTTATTGACATTAAAAAACATGACACAAATCGAGCCATGTTCTGGTCACGCGATCTAAACCTGTCAAGTTTTTAAAAGTTCATAATAAGCCCCCATCAATAACTCGACAAAAACAAGGGACGGCAAACTTGAGGGCGGAAAATATCAATTTTGCCCGGAGCGGCAAATTTACTGGCCCTCGCCTTATTTCTCGATGAGTGTTTTATAAAGAAAGTATTCATGGCATACAAATTATGTCGTTTAAGAAAGTTTAGAAAGAGATGGTCCCCCCCTATAAAAGGGAGGTAAATAAATATAATAAATAGCCTATTACTTGTTACCACACTGGGCGAGTGGATAATTTTTCAAATTTTCCTTTCCTTGCGCTGGTCGCTTTAAAATTGGTTTAATCCGCTTAAAATAAATGTACTGTACTAAATTTCCCCTCACTTTATGTAGCATGTCCCGTTTATGTACTGTTTTACGGCATTCTCCTAATCGTCTTACGTGCAGACTTGGAAATTTCCAGCCAGCGAAAAAACGCTTTAATACCATAAACAATTTTAATACTTAAGAAAGTTATATAACCAAAAGACTATTCTAAACTGTCACTAGAAGCTACATTACTTTATTCATATAAAAATATAAAATCCATAGATTAAGAATAGTACCTGTGATAAAGCGGATGGCTGTTAGAGCAGAAGAAGACCTATAAAGACATAGATAGATTGTGTGAATGACGATGTGGCCAGATTAGGAGCTTATACGGAAATAGCTGCGATTAGAGATGTATGAAAGAGGAAAACGTGTTACGACGACCCCAAATAAATAATTGGAATAAGGGTAGGAAGATGATGAGTAGCTCCCCTAAATCAATTTGAGAATCGTTTTTAAAGTCGGTCAAATTGGTTTTTAAATTAAGGGAATAATTTCAAAAATTTTTAAATATCAGCCGTTATCTGTCTACTGTAGAGCATAAGTCTCTATTGGGGGATTTTGCTAGTAATTGTCGCGTTTGGCAAGTAAATTGGCAACCACAATTAGACTTTTGATGTTTAAAGAAAGACTCTGCTGCCTATTCCACGATCATTAAGTACCCTTAGTCGCCTCTTACAACACCCACGAGAAAAGAAGGGGTGGCATATAGTTAGAATTAAATATGCCCAAAATATAATGTACAAAACATAACTTAGAGAAAAAAAAAAACACAAAAAAGCACATTATTTACGTAATAACGCTTTAAACTTTTATCTCTTTAAATACAATATTATTGAACGACCACAAATATTTTGTACAAGAATTAGTGAAATAACATATTTAATGTAACCATTTGTAAAAATTTGTTGGAAGGAACTATAATAATACTAATACTAAAATGCTTACCGTTCTTTATTAATATCCTGTCTTGTTTCCTGTTTGTTAGTGGCATAATGGATAACATTAGCCCTTTGCCAAAGTAAAAAAATATATATATTTTTAAATAGATTCTGGGTTCGATTTTCAAATAATTTCAATGTAATATTTACAAAACTTCTCGTTGTTAATCAGTTCAGGTGTATATGTTTTATTCAAATCTGTCCATAATCTGCTCCAATTTTAGATTATAAAGTAAGTACGCTTACGATTACAACAAATTTAAATGAAAATCTAAACAAACGAATAACAATAATTTAATAGAGATCCGACTATTAGACCCAATAGTCTGTCTAACATCCAATAGGTTTACAAATTAAATTAATTATTTAAATATTTCTATTTATTACTAATTTGGAGTCTCTCTATGATAGTTTCAATAAAACTCGGATACCTTTTCATTAGGGCCTATTGAAACAAAATATACATAGAAAAGCAATACTTTCAAATAATACTCACTCATTATTTTCCTATAGACACATTTATAAAGTTTCCCAGGTAACGGCAATAGAGAACTCATTCATGACTGATCCTAAAGTCTATTCTACTAAAGGAAAAGTCTGGAAATTTATTTCCAACTGCTGAGTTGAACTAGTCTACGACCTTTGCTGAGTTGGTTACCTTTGAACATTACAGCGAAAATTCTCCACCGTATTTCACTGTCCAACGGTTTTATTTACTTTGCTTTTATACATTGTAATATTTTATTTGTACAATAATATTATATTTATTTATAAGAAAGAAAGAAAGACTTTATTCATAGAGTCATGTGACTCATAACGTAACTTAAATAAAAAAACTAAATGTAACAAAATACTGTACCTAATAAGGTATAAGCCAAAACAAAAACATATAATTTTTTTTTTTTGTATTTCACAAAACAAATAAGACTTCAATTGTGTGGAAAAACCAATTATTTCAATTTAAAATCTAAACTATGGAACTGATTTTAATGTCATTTCTATGGCACCAATCTCTAAGTATATCCTTTGAGATAAAAAAGTATTTTCCAAATTGATTTACAGCTGACGGAGTTATGAAGATAACAAACATAAAAAATACATCTAAATTGAGAACTTCCTTCTTTTTGAAGTCGGTTAAAAATATGAAAAGCATCTTCTTTTCTCTTTTTTTTTATACAACTTAGAATGGCAAACAAGCTGACGGCCCATCTGATGGAAAGTGGTAACCGTCACCTATAGACATGAGCAGTACCATGGACATAACAGAGTATACTGTTTCGCCCATGATACCCCCCATGCGTTGCCATTCCTCTGTACCCAGTAAATTCACGCCATATCCTACCCTTCAAACCCAAACACAGCCATGCAAACACAACTGCTTCACGGTTGAAACACGAATGGGACAGAGATACCCAAGCAATCGACTTTTGTACAAAGTCTCCCTCTGGTAATAATAATAAGTAATATAAAAAGCATCTACAATTTTCTGCTTAAATGAAGCCTAAATTTGAAGGTATACAGTTTATTATTAACCTATAAACAATATTTTTTAGTCTAGTCTGTCCTTATTTATTAATTTGTTATTTTCAATAAAGACGTCTTTGCTCTGAAAGAAAATATACCTACTATTATTTTATTTTCCAACTATCTTTTTGCTCGCTACTTCGTACGCGCTGATTTCAAAGACACACTTCTAAATGACATATCGAAACAAAACATTGACCAGTTTTCGAGTTCAGTTTCACTACAGCGGTAACCGCATTTAATTTACTGCGGTAATTGTTGCGTGATACTGGTACAATTATACTGATAAACAAACAGACAAAATTGCTAAAAATTATTGCTTTGACTTCTATTGCTCCTATGAAACATCTTTACATCCTTTTTTTTTTCTTATTTCCATGCACAGACAACATTCAATAACAATTTTATTATATTAACAAGACAATAAAATATCCATACAGTATGAAATTGAATCTCTTATCAATTATAGATAAGATAAAACGATATTTCTAACTAGAACTATTTTTGAAAAATTTTCAAAATATCTTTAGAAACAAATTTAGTTATGCGGTCCAGTTTTTGACTAAAACTATGGTCTAAAGAAATCACAAATTGCAGTATCAATAATAATAACGATTAGGTGTATGTTTCGTATAAAAATTAAGAATTAATTAATGGGTAATATGTATACTAGTCCGATATACATTTATATATATATATATATATATATATATATATATATATATATATATATATATATATATATATATATATGTATATGTATATATATATATATACGATTTTGTATGTCTTTATTTTTTTTCACAGGTGATTCCAGCTATGTTCCACACGGCAAGTATATGGTTGACACTGGCGCTAGCTGTCCAGAGGTACATATATGTATGCCATGCGCCCGTCGCTAGAACCTGGTGAGTCAATTATCATTTCTATTTCCATTCTTCTATTTATACTACTCCACAGTACCAACTCCTTCCGTTAGACCGCATTCAAAGTCGAGCAGCTCGAATTGTTGACGATTGGCGCCTTACTGTCCGACTCAACCCACTGAAACTGCGTAGAAATGTTGCGTCTCTGTGCATCTTCTATCGAATTCATCATGGGGAATGCTCTGAGGAATTGTTCGGATTGATACCTGCTGCTGATTTTCACCACCTTACAACCCGCCATAAACTAAAATTTCATCCTAACCATCTGGACGAGTGGCGGTCCTCCGCCGTGCCTTTTTCAAGGCACTTTCTTCCACGCACAACCACTCTTTGGAATCAACTTCCAACAGCAGTATTTCCGAACCGATACGACAACATAACCTTCAAGTAAAGAGCATATTCCTTTTGAAAAGCTGGAAAAAAAAACTCCCTATTTCTACCCTACCAAAGACTATAAAAAAGTGTCTGCATAGGTATCCCTGTTCTACTCATATTTCTGCCTTGAAGCAGTTGTGTTTTGGTTTGAAGGGTCAGATACGGCTGTGAAATTGCTGGACACTTTCTCGAGAAAGGACCAACTTAAATCGTGGCAAAGTCAATTATTTTAATTAAAAAGAACTGAAACAATTTTGATAAAATTTTTAGGGGACTTTAAATATGCTTTCAAATAAAAAAAAGAATTTTTCAAATCGATTTATAACTGATGGAGATATGAGGTAACAAACATTAATAAAAAAAAACACTAAACTCAGGAGCTCTTTTTATTGAAATCGGTTGAAAAATAAAGGCGAATTGAGAATATTATTTGTAGACATGATTTAAGATTTTGTTTCACAAAAAATACCTACTTCAATCGTATCTAAACCAGTCATTTTGGTTTAAGAACCAAACTACTGCACCGATATAGATAATATTTCTGTAATTCGATCCAAAAGTCATATATTATATATATCCTTTTAGATAAAAATATAATTTTCCAATACGAATATGAGGTAACAAACATAAAAATATACAATCGAATTAAAAGCATCCTCCTTCTTTTAAGTCAGTTAAAAATCAACTATGAATTAAATTAAAATTAAATTATAATTAAATTAAGAAATCAAAAGAGAACTGTTCAAATTGGAGTCCCCAATTTAGTGTTCTATTGTTTCTACGTGCCCCATTCGAAGAGAGTGCTGATCCTTAATAAGATTATAAATATAATAGTGAGTTAGTTTATAACCTCTTAACACCTAAACTGCTTAACTAGTCACTATGAAATTTGGTATATAGGCTAATGTAGGTAATAAGCTATTTTTTATCCCGGTCACGCGAACGAAGTCATTTGTAAAAGCTAGTGTTTAAATGTAATTTAATTCTATTTAAACAAAATTTCCTACAAAAACATTCCCCTTTCAGAAAATCATAAAATTTCTGACTCTATAGAGAACTCAAGTTTTGGTGGTTTCCTAAGATCATTACTGACTCCCCTCTTGACATGTTTACCTCTATAGCCGGAACATTATCCACGTTAGTGAAAAATGGTAATGGTTTCCCTAACGGGTCCTTGTATACCTTTAAAGTGTATTATGACGTTCCTGCCTTTTTCCATGACGTTGTCTCAAGAAATATATATTTGTAAAACCTGTATTTTAATGTAATAACTACAGAATATATATAATATATATATATATATATATATATATATATATATATATAATGAATCAGCAACGATATTATGTACCTTGATAACAGTCCAACTGTGAAATCCTTCTTTTTAAAGTCAATTGATAGAGCAACAAATAGAGCAGACTGTAGCGCCATGTCTAAACGTGTCTTTTTAACCTAATATTTTATTTGATATATTTGCAAAATTTTATGGACCATCAAATATAAACTTATAATAATTTTGACTTACATCATTTAGAAGTTTAATTCATATTGGTCCTGAGAATATAAATTTTGTTGTTATATTAAATCGAAATTTTGGAGACCATCATCGTCATATCAGCCGTTAGCTGTCAGCTGTTAAGCATAGGCATCACCCATAAAAGGTGGTATTGCCAACAGTTGCCACGCTTGGCAGGCAGACCAGAGGGAGCTTCATATTATGCGCGATCTAAAAATAGTTTTTTTTTTTTTATACAACTTAGAATGGCAAACAAGCTGACCTACCTGATGGAAAGTAGTAACCGTCGCCTATAGACATGAGCAGTACCATGGACATAACAGAGTGTACTGTTTCGCCCATGATACCCCTCATGCGTTGCCATTCCTGAGAACTCAGTACCTTTGTACCCAGTTAATTCACGCCATATCCCACCCTTCAAACAGAAACACAACCATGCAAACACAACTGACGTACCCAAACGGGACAGAGGTACCCAAGCAATTGGCTTTTGTGCAAAGTCTCCCTCTGGTCATAGTTTATCTAACTTAAACTAACTTAAAATACGGAATAAACTTTATATAATAATTTACGCAGAAAAAGTCGCGGGACACAATATATGTTAACCCTTTAAAGTTAAGGCCCTATCCAATCAAGGAATATCTAACAATCCTCAAACGTTATCCAAAAGGGTATGGACAAAAACCTTCAAAGCGATTACAGTAGAGATCACCTCATCCCTACGGATCGAATTAGTTATATCACCACCACTAATTGTAGTTCCGGGGACAGACATGAAATAACATAAAAAAAGCGCGTACTTTAATTTCATTATAACAAATTAAAGAATTTTTTTATTGAATATAATAAATGCTCATAGTGATTCGGCCCCTGCAGTAACTCGCCATGTGGTCTCGATATAGAAAGGGCCACGCCTTCCTTTTCAGTGGGTGTCGTACAACGCGACTAAGGGGACTGAATGATCAATGGATGGGCAGCAGCGTCCCTCTTAAAACATCACCAAAGGCTAACTGCGTTTACCAACCCAAGTGGTGGTATCAAGCGTGGCAACTATTGGTAAACCCAGTATGATCCCATAAAGGATTATGGGGGAGGTCTGTGTTTAACAGTGGTATAATAATAATTATTTTATCAATTTAAAATCTACATACATACATGAATAGTCTACATGGATACATTATTAGACTAATTTACACTATATAATTTTTTTTTTACAAAATTTATTTTATTAACAATAATCAAACAATTGTGAAATAAATGATTTTACATTTAAAACATATAAATTAAATATATGTTTCGTGTTTTATAGTTTTTATTATAGGTTATGGAAAAACTTCAAAGGTTTTTCCAAGAGACTACAGCATGGGGTTCTTCAAACGAGGGTAAAGAGGTGTCTTCAGGGTCGGCAACGCGCGCGTAATATTGCAAGCACCCTTGGTATTACAAGCGTTCATAGTCTACGGTAACCGCTTACCATCAAGTGGGCCGTATGCTTGTTTGCCACATCAGTGGTATAAAAAAACCTAACTGACAGAAAGTGTCATCTGTAAACATGAATGATATTGTACGAGTACATCACAGAATACACTTAGAGCCTAAAAACAAGAGTAACCTATCATTTTTACCTGTGTTAGAAAAATGCACTAAGAAACTTTAATCTTTTATAAAATAACTAAGATCTAGCGTACACGGGCTCTTGACCTATGACGCCCATGCATTGTCATTTCTGAGTACAAAGATGTTACGCCTTTCTACTCTGTAATTTCATTGCCATATGCCACCCTTCAAACCGAAACAAAGTCATGCAAGTACAGTTGCTTCGCGGTTGAAACACGAGTGGTACAGAGGCACTTAAGCAGAAATTTCTAATTGGCATTGTTTCTGTTCTCTTTAAGGTTGTATTTCAACAAACATTATAATTTAATGAATATTTTTAAATATGCTCTCAGCGATAAGGCCGCTTGTTTTCTCAGTGTAATATTTTGTTGTAATTGTTTGTATCTATAATAAATTGGTAAGAAACAATAAAGAGTATCTATTTATTTATTTTATATTTTAATAATGCAACGTAGAGAACAAAAGAATACAATCAATAAACACGATAGATGCACTTCTGTAAACAAAATAAAGCTGCCTTATTGCTATTATATTGGAAATACTTATGGATAATTGATTTTTTTTATTTTCAACCAATTTAAACTTAAACAACTTAACACAACGATTGTTTCGGTAAAATATGATAACTTACCTCAATTACCTCACCAGAGGGAGACTTTGTACAAAAGTCGATTGCTTGGGTACCTCTGTCCCATTCGTGTTTCAACCGTGAAGCAGTTGTGTTTGCATGGCTGTTTCGGTTTGAAGGGTGGGATATGGCGTGAATTTACTGGGTACAGAGGAATAACACCTGAGTCCTCAGGAATGGCAACGCATGGGAGGTATCATGGGCGAAACAGTATACTCTGTTATGTCCATGGTACTGCTCATGTCTATAGGCGACGGTTACCACGTTCCATCAGGTGGGCCGTCAGCTTGCTTGCCATTCTAAGTTGTATAAAAAAAAATGAATAGTCTACATGGATACATTATTAGACTAATTTACACTATATAATTATTATTTTTTACAAAATTTATTTTATTAGCAATAATTAAACAATTGTGAAATAAATGCTTTTACGTTTAATATAAATTAAATATATGTTTCGTTTTTTATAGTTTTCCTTCCAGTACTTCGCACTTGTATTCAGAATTCGGATTTGGTACAATAAATATAGTGTTTTTTTTTTTTTTTTGCATACCGAGTTTTTTTCAAGAGACTACAGCATGGGGTTCTTTAAACGAGGGTAAAGAGGTTCCTTCAGGGTCGGCAACGTGCGCGTAATATTGCAAGCACCCTTGGTATTACAAGCGTTCATAAGCCACAGTAACCGCTAACCATCAAGTGGGCCGTATGCTTGTTCGCCACCTCAGTAGTATAAAAAAACCTAACTGACGGAAAGTGTCATCTGTAAACATGAATGATATTGTACGAGTACATCACAGAATACACTGAGAGCCTAAAACCAGAATAACCTATAATTTTTACCTGTGT